TCCATTCCCCCTGTGTGCCTTGCCTCCCACGACTTAGAGATTTATCATTGTACTCGACAATTTTGGATACTTCTATACCATTATTTTGTATATGGAGCATTTTTTTAATAAAAGTGTTTTTTTGTTTTTAAGAGTGTGTGGCGTCATCCACATGAAGCATTAAATGCACTAGTGTGCTCTACATACGTGATGTCACACCCTATGTTTATAGAGAAAGATATTTACATGGTTTTTCCTAAATTTTCTCGATGGATGAGACATACTTCACATTTATTTATCTTATCATTTTCCTAGATATTGTAAACCTAGAGGCTCATCATGCACCTAGTCATTCTTAGGTATCATAAGAACCTGGATGTTTGCTTTAGTTATATTTCTTCTATGTTTAAATTCAATGATTTTCGATCCAGATTGTCGATCTAGATTGAAATTGGTTGGGATGGAGTTGGTTCCAATATTGTATAGGCCCAACTTGGTTACCCCTAAAACCCCCTTGTATACCTTTTGTCCTTCATCTCAAGCCTACTTAACATTTACATAAAAGGTGTGGTTTCTATAAGGTTGCAACCTCAAACAATCTAATTAAGGCGCACCTCCAAATTTTATCATAACATGTAATTTAGGTATAAAGAATTCTTACGATTACTTGAAAATCTATTTTTTTCCCTAATTACAAAATTTTAAACTTAAAAAAATGGTTAAAATTACGTAGATCTATATACATATGAAAATCTTAAAAATGGACGGTCTAGATAATATGTTGCGAGATGCAGTACTTATGTGACTCAATTTTTTTCTTTTTTCTTTTTATATTCATACATCTTGATGTCGAGATGGTTTTTCAACACTAAAACAACATTTTTCGATGGATTTTTGAGGTGCATATGTAGTTCATATGCAGTTCTACATTTTAAGGTTGCAACCTTATATAAACTTTTTCCATACATAAATCCCCTTTAAATTCCCACCAGAGGAACTGCTATTTTCAATTTTTATTTTATTTTATTTATTTTAAACCTTTTTTTGATCACCAGTTTGGACTGATCCCAAACATATAGATCACTGGTCCAATGATATGATGTGGATATGCGGATGAACAATCCACCCCACCATTATGGGTTCTAAAGCACTGATTTGCACTAAAACTTGGTCACTCTTGCATTTCATTCCTCAGTATTAAGATCACTAATCTCAAAGGGAAAACCAAAATTAAAATTCTCATGGCCTAGGAAATTCGTGGTAATGAGGATCATCACCTCTTAAAAAATCATTGCCCAGTAATGGAGAAAATGGAACCCGTCATGTGGATTCATGCCCAGATGCACCCCACCTTCGTTAGATTCGACCGTCTAAACACTGATTAGACGGTGATAACTTCATGACCATGTTAAATAATGGTTAACATTCAAAATCGTTAGACTTGTATATACGTTATATTTGAAAACACAAATCGTGATAAATGGGGACACATTTTTTTTATGTGGTTTTTATAAAGTTTAGGCCCTAAACGATAAAAGTAAGGTTGTCGAAAGATGACTTTTAGTAGCAAAAATCTTTGTGATGGTCTGGAAAATTATTTTTATATGTAATTAGATAATTTTAAGCTTAAAAAAAGTATAGATCGAGTAGATCAACAGACACTTGAAAATATTGAAATTGACGGTCTATATATTGCATTACAAAATGCGCTACTTCCCAAATCTGAAATCCTTTTTGTTTTTAATGTATATGCATCTTGAGCTTGAGATGATCGATTTGAGGGTTTTGTGACATCGAAACGACTTCTTTTAATAAATTTTTTAAGTGTGCCTTAATTTGATTGTTTAAGCCTCAACCTTATACAATTTTTTTTTTTTTCTTGATACGACTTGCAGGACCCATTTAGTTACCTTCAAAAGGAAAGAAAGAAGAAGAAATACACACTCCATATGTACATAAAAAACAACCCAACATCCTTGAAAAGAGATTGTCTATATTCACAAGGTGAAAATGAAGTGGATCCCAAAAGGAAAATCGATTAAAATACATCTAAATACCAATTAATATCTTGCTAAAATTTCCAAAAGATCTACTAAAATATGCCTAAAATTCATAAATTAGGTGTTGTGAAAAATTTGACAAAAAAAATAAAATGTCTCGACTAGTAATTCAAAATCTATCAATTCAGATTGAGAATTGCTGATCTGGATCGAGAATCAGTGGAAAACGATCCTAATTTCCAATTAGAGAATCTAGTTGGTTCCCGTAAAATCGTCTGGCTCCTTAAGAACTAGCCGATTCTATACTAGGTGATTTGGATCGTCCAATTCCTACTATTTATATTTTTATTATTTTTCCCTTGTTCTTTTTTATTTTTTTCAATGATCCATTCTCATATGGGAGGATGGGTCAGATATTGAGATCACAGATCCAGATTGGCAATTCGACCGATTTTCTGGATTGCCCGTTCACTTGGCTAATACAAATTTTGGAACATTTGTCCTCTCTCTACTACAAGTTGGACGTACTTTATAGTGTGGTCCCGCAGGAGTACATTGCTCGCGCTTTGTACTTCAAAACGTACTGAATCCGTTATTTTGAATTTTAGACAAAACGCAAAGGCCATTTTCGTCATTGTCGGCATAGATGGGCACGAAAAGGTTCTCCTCATGTGGCTGGTTGAGCTTCGAGAGGCGAGGAGTCTCTCTCTCTCTAAAAACACGGACACACAATCTCTCTCTAAATTCATTTTCTCTATCCACATTCTCTCTCCTCAAAGTTGGTCCGTTTGGCGGACAACTGGTTGAACAATGTGGCTGGGGCCAGCGATCATTCCGAAGCCGATCTCCCGCCTATAAAATTATCCCCTCTCTCGCCCTACCTGGTTTCAGTAGAGAGAGAAACAAGGTAGAGAGATATAGAGAAACAAGGTAGAGAGATTTCAGAGAGAGAAGGGAACTCTAGGGTCAGGAATTTTCATAAACACTATCAAGTTGTTTCGGTAATCATAGAGCTCCCTCCGTGCTTCTGCAAATTCTAAAGTTTCTTGTACCAAGGGTTTCTCAGAAGAAGAAGCATACGAAGCTATAGAGCGCCATGCCTCCTATCCAGCTGAAGCAATCTCCGGCCTCGACCCAAACCCTGACTGGCTCGAGTCAAGATGCGAGGATGCTGGTTAGAGAGACCATGAGGATCAGTGCAAACCTTGCTTCATCTAGGTCAGCGAACGAGCTTGTCGCTGAGAGTGCTGTGCAACTCGGTGGTAGAGATGAGAGCTCTCTGCAACTTGGTGGCAGAGAGAGCGCGAATGATGTCAGGGTTTTGTGTTGTGAGGAGTTGGATGGGAGGAGGTGGAGGTATGTTGCAGAGCCTGATGGGTCGGGGAGATTTGTCAAGGGTTCGATGCATGCCATTGCTTTGCAAACACCGAGCAATCCAGTCGATGTGAGTGCAGCATTATCTAGTTTATTTCTCTCTCTATCTTCTGCTTTGTCTTCTCAGTTTTCTCGATAATCTTACCATTAGTTTCTGGCCTCGCTCTCTAAAAAGTTCCTATTCGTGTTATCTTTTTTTTTTTGTCAATTTGAACCATTAAATTTCTCTTTCTTTCTCTCTTCTAATTCTGCTCCATCTTTATGTCTCTTTTTGATGGTGTATGAATAATTTTGCATTTTTTTGTTGGATTGATTGAAAGAAATTGAAATCTTTTGAATTGTGACGTTATTTGACTTCTTCTGTGATTTATTTCTAATTTTGTATTTTGGAAGTTTAATTATATTGTTGACTTTTATTGTAATTTATTTGTGTATTGAAAATTTAATTATTATCTCTTTTCTGCATTATCCCTCTTGATTAATTAAGGACTTTGCTTTATCTTCCTTATTCCAATTTCCTTGTACATTCCCTTCTTGAACTTTCAAAATAACACATACACTCCCTCCTTGTCTATCCACCTGTCTACTTTTTGATGTTCGTTTGAGTCTAATAAGTCAATATCCGGCCGGTGTTCATTGATCTTCCCTTTCATTGTTATTTATATCCATTTTTATTGTATTTAGATTTTTCCTTTTATTTACCATCAACTTCTATGTTTAGCAGGGTTGTTCAAATATGAATGAATTTTTTATCTCTTATTTTTGATAAATTTGAAATATCCATTCCCGATAAAAATGGAAAAGTTATTCTTTTGAACCTACTGAATGTATTTTTTCCTTCCTCTTGAGGAAACTGAAGTTTGAGATTTTTCCGGTATTCATGGTGGTTTTACTAGGATCCTTGTTTACATAGGCAATGATATCATGCAGTGATGAGACAGAAATTATTTGAATGAATTGGATGCCAATTTTTTTTCTTTTCTCTTTTTGACAAATGGATTGGATGTCAATGTCGTTTTTGTCTCTAATACTTCTTGTAGGAGCTCAATCTTGGTACTTGGAAACAAGTGATCTTTAATAGGTGAGTAAAGTCTTTATAAATGATAATGTGAGATAACAAATATATTGATAACTTTATATTTATATAACATTAAAAGAAAAAGATAAATTATATTCATGAAGAGGACAACGTAGGCTGTGAAATGCTGACTTGGATTGGTACTGCTGAGCTTGAAATTGGGGTGAGATGTGTTTTGTTTTTTTCTTTTTTTTTTCTCGTTTTTTTTTTTTTGTTGGGGGGGGGGGGGCGGGGTGGTTTGGGAATTTGGGGGCTTAGATGCATATTTTGAAAGGCTCACTTGGATGAGGACTCATCATAGTCTCAATCTTAATCAACTTGATGAGAATGGGTGAGACTTTTTGAGACTTATGGTTGCCTCACTACCAACCCGAGGTATGCCAACTCACAAATTATGATGCACCCTAGTTCTCCGTTTTCTGAAACACTGATTAAACAAATAGACCGGAAAAGAATCAGGCTTTCACTGGTTTGTTCATTAGAAAATAAAAGCATTATAATGAAACAAAAAGTATTCATTATAATGCATATAAGGAATAATCAGAAAATCTTTGGAAGTATGAATTATGTTCGTGCGTATAAATCTCTTAGGATCTATTTGCAATTAGTTCTAAGTGGTCTACATTCCAGCTATCTTCTGAATAGTTCGTTGTGTTTGCAATCCTCACAAACTCCTTGTCGCTAGAAGTGTACCAACTGTTTGACTCCTTTTAGTATTGATTTCAATTTTTTGTCTACTACTCTCGTTTGGACTCCATGTTTTCTCATATTTATCAAGAACTCAATGTGCTAGGGACATGTATTTTCTAGATAATTAGTTTTTGGGAGACCTGGGGCTTGTAGGGCGTCTTTCAAAAAATTGGAAGAGGGCATGGGTGGCAACCTCCATGGAAGCCGTTTCTACCAAACATAAGTCCTTTTTGAGAGGGGTGTGCATGGCCGCCCTCCCAGTTTTTGATTGGTGGAGCTTGGGTCTCTCACTCCGTGAAAGTTTCACCAAACAAACATGCCTGTAAAGTTTATTTTATTTTTTGGTATCCTTGGGACTTGCAAAGATTGAATCATTGTTCTGGATTTTCATATCTTAGTCTCAAAATGAATTCTGAAGGATTTGCTATTTTTCAGGAATTGGTTTCTTTTGTAAGATCCTATGTAGTACCCGAAGGGTTCCCAGACAGTGTGGCTCCTGCATATGTGCCTTATATGACTTGGAGAGCTTTAAAGGTATGTTTGAATTTGTCTGGAGATTTAATTATCATTGTATTTTTTTTCTTAGTAAAATTCCTGCTGAAACAAGATGTTACTTTTCCATTAAATTTTGTTTCTAATTCATACATTTATAATACATGATATTAATGTACATCAAATGCTTGCCGCATTCGTTTCTAGATAATTAGTTTGCATAGAAACTTGGGGCTTATTTGTGAGTTTTAGCATGATTCACTTAATCTTTTCTATTCTGACTTGTTAAATGTTAGAAAACATGCTATACTTTATCTTAAGAGTTCTTTGTCCGTGCTGATCCATTAATGTATGGTGCAGCATTTCTTTGGGGGAGCCATGGGTGTTTTCACAACACGCTCGTTATTGCATTCAGTTGGGGTTTCGGGAAATGGAGCCACTTCTGCTGCTGTTGCTGTTAACTGGGTCCTCAAGGTAGTATGCAGCATGCCCTGTTGGTTTAAAACTTGTATAATTTTCTGCACAAGCCTTGTTTTCAAGTTTGTGTAATAAATAAAAATGCAAGTTGTAGTATGGGAATTTTTAAGCCATCATTGTCTCTACCCAGTCTTCACCTATCTATTTTCTATATCCTAACTCATTACATCTTCTGATGTTGATTTTGATTTCTAATCATAATTTTTTTTAATTCTTGTTATTTTTAGGATGGGGCAGGGCGTGTTGGGAAGATGCTTTTTGCTCGTCAAGGAAAGAAGTTTGACTATGATTTGAAACAGGTAAAAACTAGAACCAGACTTCTAATCTTATGCAATTATTTTCTTATAGAGAATAAAGCATTAAGGTTTGAAGTGCATTGCAGCTTCGCTTTACTGGAGATCTACTTATGGAATTAGGTGCCGGGATAGAATTGGCAACTACTGCAGTGCCCCATCTTTTTCTTCCATTTGCTTGTGTTGCCAATGTAGCAAAGGTTAGAGCCTTTTCCTTTGTATATTTCTGCCTCCTAAGGCTGCAGGCCACCAGAAGAGAATTGCTCTTTTGCCTAATTTTCCCTCTTGTTGTCATTAGAATGTTGCTGCAGTAGCATCAACATCTACGCGTGCTCCAATCTATAAAGCATTTGCTAGAGGAGAGAATATTGGTGATGTGACTGCCAAGGGAGAGTGTGTGGGCAATATTGCTGATCTGGTATGCAGCTGTTTCCCCATACTCTCAAGTAAAATTATTTCTGGCTAAATGATTGTGTTTAGGGCTGCAATTGGGAAGAGGTATTTTATATGTTAAGGTTCACAAGTCGTAAAGATCCTATGGTGGTCAATGGGGTATGGTGTCCTGTGCCTTTTTGCTACTGAGTGGACTTTCAAAACACCAACTGTTTTTAGCCCTATTTTAATAAATTTGGGAAGACACCAAACGCATTAGCTATAAAGAAATATACAAAGTCTTAAGACAATCTCAATTAGACATAAGAAGACATGAAAATGACGGAATCATGGGTGTTAGGGGGCTCAATCACTGCTCTCCATGGAAAGCTTAAGAGTGTGATTTCATAACTATCTTCATGTGCATTCAAGGGTTCAGTCTGTGAAAGGACTCTACAAAGTATAAACCAGACAGATCTGCAACTCCATTAGAAGGAATGTATGTTCTGTTGTAATTAATGGCTTTCTGTAGAGTAAGACCCTCAAGCTTATGTGAACACAAAAGAAATCGTTGGCTTGTTGTGATGCTAATCTTTTTCATAGTGATACTTTTGACGAGTAATAGGGTGCCCACCATCCTTCCCCAGCACCATGAAGAACTTCTTGGATCAAGTAACTCACATTACATTTCATTAAAGTATAACAACTCCTACAAAATTTAATTTATTTGAGCTAACAATTGAAATAATCAAGTAGTTCACTTCAATGTGGACCATTTAGTGCTTAGAAGGCTGAATTGAATTTACACATTGCCTCAATTATGCATGTCTCTTTACGATGGCATGATCTTAACTTGGGTTAATAGTTTTGTGCTTTTAATGCAGAGTTCTGAACTGAATTACAATGGTCTAATAAGGTTGAGGACCTTAAACTTTCCCTTAACCCGTCCCAACCTCGGGTAATGGAGGTGGGTTGCATTAGGTGGGAAGCAAGCGTAAAACTTTGCCATATCTTACCATGAATCCTGAATCTACATTATCTGCCCATGCTAGAAAGTATGACCTTTGATCGAGCAGAATGACAGAACATGATTCGTGTAGCTGATCCTAATTAGTTAGGATAAGGCTTTGATGAAGATGATGATCAGAATTACAAATCTTATTTGCACAATTTATCCATGATTGTATTAACTAGTTTTCCAATATTAGGCTGGCATGTTTTTTAGTGGAAATGGAAGGAATCATTTCCTGGTGTTTGGAACATGAGTAGCGGTTCTCTATTATTTGTTGAATTTTTGTGTCTTAATTATATTGTTGCATATTGGCTTGGTAGTTATATTTGTCATCATAAGGCTGACAACATGTTAAAAAAAAAAAAACTGTGACTGACAAACTGATTTCATTATAAACTTTCTGTCATATGCAGTGTGGGACTGGACTAAGCATCATGATGTCCAAAAGAAATCCTTCCTTGGTGGTTACTTTTGCCCTCCTTTCATGCGGATATGTTTTCAGCTCGTATCAAGAGGTTTGTCCCTGGTACAAACAATGTTTTGTGATGCATTTTCCTCCCATTTGCCGTATTCCTGCTTTTTGCTGACACCTCTTCTTTCTGGATCAGGTGAAATCAGTTGTACTGCAGACATTAAACAAGGCAAGATTCACTGTAGCTGTGGAGACTTTCCTCAAGACAGGTATGTTGAGGCTAGGAACTTGCCTTTGGTCTTGGAGTAAAAAATTGTGGCACATTAAATCCAGTGAATTGTTCATGGCATGACTTTTGATGGAAATACTAAATGCCATATTGGCTGAATTGATTTTATTTATTTATAATGTATTAAATTCAAATTTGTTATTGCATGTTCCCGAAGATAGAATGGGACTAGCTCATTGAGACTGTAAGTGGTGCACATCACAAGTGTTGTCTTTAATATTTTTTTCGAATTTATTGTATCTATTGCTCTGCTCTGTTTTTTATGATAGCTAAGTATGGAATGAGACCTACATCCAAGGTTTTGAGTCTAGGAACTCCTTTGCACTAGACTACAGTCTAAACCCACCACCTCCACATTATTTGGGTTTTCTGTTTGTGTTTCTTAGTTTTTGCTATTTTTGTTTTCTTATAGTTGGTAATCATACTAGATAAGAAGCTAGGGAATTCGAACCTACCTGGATCAAGATATAAAAGTGAACTCTACAGTCCATGCACAATTCTGCATCTAATGATTCACCCGGCTCGGGCCTCGTAGCTTCAAGGAAATGATAACCAGCTGCTAGTCTAATCTTCAGAATTAGGGTTGCACTGGCTTTATACATCTCATGGGGGCTCAAGAAGCAACTTCTATCTGGATGAGAGGTATTGATAGGACGAATTGGACCTTGGAGAGTTGAGGAGAGCTTTTGGCGATATATTTTTTCAAGGGACTGGTGGGTGATGGTAGGGAGTCCCCACCTCTTGCTGCCAAGTTGATTATATTTCTGCCCCACATCCTGGCATTTGGACTGTATTTTGACAGTTAATTGATTACAATTTAGGTGAATGACATCATCAATATGGGCATTTCGTGTCGCAACGATGAAGAGACAGCCAACCTTCTTTTTATCGAGGTGGTGAGCCAGTTTATTATTAACTTGTTTGGTTTCTCATTGGTTACTCTGGTATGTATTGCTGATTTATTTCAAGGGGTTGTTTATCTGGTCCTAACTTGAGAAGCGGGCGGATTCTACAGCAGCCCTGCCTGCTTTTAAGTTCTTTGGGGTAATTGGTGTGACCACGACAGTCACATTTTTTGAGGGTGTGATGGTTGGAAGAGCAGCTCTCTGGGATTGTGTTGGAGATCAGCCATCACGTGGGCTCTGGTGAGGCCTAAGCTTTGGGGATTCAGAGTGAGACTATTATTTGCTGCACAAGTTGGAAAGTGGTTATACTTGACCAGTCACTATCAACTGGCCATGCCCCCTCTTTGGTGTTTCCTGAGCAAGGATTCCTGAAGCTTTTAATTTGATGATGATTCGCATGAGATTTCTAGTCCGCCGTGGGGGGAGGGGGTGCAATTTCTTTTATATCTGTGCCCTTTAGGCATTTGTGACTCTTCACATACTATGGCTCTCCTTACTGGTCTCAAATTCTGCTCCCTTGGGACAGATATGGTGATAGAGGCAGATAGCTATAATGCTATTTGGCGGGCAAGGGAGGAAACAACATAATCATTGCAACATTGGGGGATCTTTTTTGAGATTTTTTTAGTTGTGTTGTCCCATCTCTTTCTCTTTTTGTTGTGTCCCTAGAGAGTAGAATGATATGGCAAATGCTATTGCCATCAGTGATACAACAAAAACTAATATCGGTAAGGTGTTCTTGGCTTCTATGTGCATTTTAAAAGACCTGACAGTGATATCTCAATTTCCACGAAACTCTTGGCCTCCCTAAAAACATGTGCTGGATGCATGAGAATTGTTTTCATCCATCTTTAATTTAGCTACTTATAGTTTTCTACCTATTTAGTGATCTAAGATTCTACAGAAGTACAAATCAATCTAGATTTGGATCAGAGATTTACCTGATGCAATTCAAGGTTCCTGGGTAATGTCTAAGAATAACCAGAATACCTAGTTGCCAACCCTTGCATCGACAATCAAAATGGCTGATGGTCTTTAAGAAGCATGGTTAAATGCTAGCAATTACTGCTGTAGAAGAACCTGACAACTAAAGGGAGGAGCTGTGTTTTATTGCGGTTCCTTAAATCACTGTTTCATGGTCACAGACCTTGAATTAGTGTTACATGGATACTGGCACAAGTGTCGGTTTATACAAGTCTAAAGATGTGTTATGTGTAGTACTTTGGTCTAAAAAGCCGATACAGTTGGACTCACCCGTGTGATTATTATTTTAAATTATGCTTTTTAGCATATATAAGATAATTAAGCTTTCTGTGCTACTTAACAAATGGATGAGGAGGACATTCTTAAAAAAAACAAAAAAACAAATGGATGAGGAAGTGGAGTAGAGGATGATATGCCAAAATGGCTTGAGTTCTAACCTTGAATTGAGTTCCTTCACAATATTGTAACTGTTTTTCATATAGGTAGGTGTCTTCAAGTGTTGACATGTGTCAAAGTGTCAACACATGTCGTCATGCGATACCAACCAAAAAGTGAAGTGTTGTGGTGCCGTTGTGATGAAGTAGATTTATCATATATAGGTTTTTTAGAAGTAATATGGAAATGGAAATGTTTGGCCCCTCTTTAATGTGATCTTCTTGATGGCAATGTTACAACGACATTCACCTTTTGATTGGTGTCGCTTTTCGATATACGTTGACACTTTGAAATGTGTCAACACTTGAGGACACTTGGCTGTATAGAAAACAAACAAAATTGTGGAAGGGCTCATTGCAATGTTTGAACTCAAACTATTTTGACATATTGTCTTCTACTCTACCACCTTGATGTCCATTTATTATGGTATAAGAAAGAAATTATATTTTATATATTATGAAATATAATATTTATTTATAAATAGTAATTGTACGACGTTTTTAGCTATTATAGTCTTTTTTGAGTGAAGTGCTAGACTCACTTAACACTTAAACATGAGTGTCCTTGTAACACTGCTTGAAGGTTAGAGGAGGCTGGAGGGAATCCTGCAACTTACCTTTTGTGGGACTCATAGGCTCAAGACCCCTCATGTAGATGGTTGGACACTTTGAGGCCCTTGCCATGGACCATCTTTAAAGTAATGGGGTCTAAAGCCTAATATGCGCTTAAAGCACTAGGAGGTGGAGGAAACCATCAGCCATCTTTCTTTACATACTCCTGTCTGCAGAATTTGGAAATATTCCCAAACTCATTTGAGGTTAGTAGAAGGGCTTATGGTATGCTTGTCATAGACGTGGTCGAAAGTGGACTATTGCTTTAAAAGATGTACCCTTTGGTTGGCTTCCAGGGTGTTTGGAAGAAAGATATCACATGATCTTGAAAGGACTTCCTTTTGGTTGCTTGAGACAGGGAACTCATAATGGACTCTGTTTTCTTTCAATGTTTGAAAACTCAGGGTGAGTTTGCTTAGACTCCCCTAGTTACTCGGACTTCGTGCCCTGCCGATCATTGAATGCTTCCTAACTCGAGGTAGTCGTTTTTTGTTGATTCTGCATCAAAAACACCTATTGGAGCCCTAGTTTGGTCCATGATTTTTTTTTTCAAGATCTATCCACTAGATAGATAAAGTTTCAGAAAAAAGGAATCAAATTTGATAGATTGAGTTGAGGATCCTGACCAAGGTTTTGCCCAATTTTGAAAACTTGTATCTTCATTGTAATGGGTGGTAGATATTCAATGAAATTTGATCCCTAAGCCTATTTTGGATTCTTTGTCCAATCATAGGCTTATTTCTCCTAAGAAAAACAAAATATTGCATGTTTGAGATTTTAATTTTGGATTGATTGTTCATTCTAAATTTTTAAGAGCTCAGATATCCAGGATTCGAACTCAAAACCCAGAATTGGTTTGGTGGTTTCTATTGGCTTGTTGAGGTAGCTTTGACATGAATAGGAGCCATCGATTTGCATCAAGTGCGAAGATCGTGGAACAAGATTAATTTCAGCAATTACAACCTAATATCATCAAATTAGTACCATTTTCCATTTTCCATCTTTCATATACTTCTTCTTGTTTATTATTTTTCTTAATTTTTACCCTTCTGTATTTTTGGTATTTTTTCTTTTTTTCAGCTATTTTAGGCCCTTTTCAAGTTGTGTGCGGACACAGGTGAGAGTCGACTTGGCCTTGCCGTTAACTTGGCCAGGTCAAGGGCCAAGTTCATTTTCCATCCTTTATATATCACTTTTTGTTCTTTATCATTTTTCTTATTTTTTCGGGATTTTTCCTTTATTTCCATCTTGTCCGCAGACTTGGGTGAGTCGACTTGGCCTCACCCGGTAACTTAGCCAGGCCAAGGCCTGAGTTCTGTGGCTGAGCCGAGTAGTAAATCACTTCCTAGAGGGTTGGTCATCAAAGAATATTTTGGCTTGAAAGCCAATACTTTGATTGTTGAACAAGTTCTGATGCATGTATTGCGTCCACCTACACCATGGCTTATTCTCGACCCATGAGACCCCATCATGATTCCATTGGTGAGCCTTGATGCCTTCTTTTGAACCTTGAAAGAAGGCAGAGAAGTCAACAATCCTCGAGTTCAGAAATTGGTGCATAGCAACTCATAACCTATTTTAGTTTTTAGCTAGTATCGCGTCAAACTTAGTGTTGTTTTCCTCATTACAAAACCTTGATGACACTGAAGGGAGTTGCTCACTGCGTTTTGCCCCTCTAAATTTCACAAAACTTGGTCACAGGATGCAGATTGTGGAAACAACTACATGCTCCATAGCATGTTCAAACCAGAATTGCTGGGATCTCCTAATCTAGGTGGGATTGCCCACTCTGAAATCTCGCTCGCTCCGGTACTCCAAGAAAGGGATCTTCAAGTGATATTGATTTTTAAATTTTGGGATGTCGGTCCCCACTGTTGGGGATCTCAACCCCCACCTTAAAGATCAATATAACGACCAAATTGATAATTTCCCTTATTTATAGCCACCTCAATGCAACTATACATTTAATATAGTTGCATTGCTTGCTAGTTATAAATACAGTTATCCCTACTTTAAAGAGTATATATAATCTAGAATATAGATACTCCTAGACTATATATACTCTTTAAGGTGGGGAGCAAGATCCCCAAAACACTTGGAATTGAGATCCTTAACATTTAGGGATCTCTATCCCTAAGGCATGCCTTGTATGGGCGACGCTTCCAACCATAGAGATCTTCTAGCCTTTCAAAGCCTAGATCTCGATCCCAATGCCGCTTCCGATCCCAACAACTATGGTTCAACCCTATTGCAAAGAGGCATAGGTAAAAATGTATTTCCTCTTTTACTATTTATTAACAAAATTCTCTTCAAGGCTGCCTAGTGAAAGTTTGTAGGCTCATTGGGAATACTTTCATGTAAAACTGTGGGTGGGGATCCTTTGTTTTGTTTTTTTTTTTTGGGATCGAAGACAATTTTTACCCCAAATGCATTCATTGCTATTCATAATCATTCACAAGGAATTTAGTTTGACATTTTTTGAGTGGTGTGCCCAACAAGGCATGCTTTACTGAGACAGATCCAGCATATTGATTTGTAATTTTGTATCCTAGGGCTATCTTCTTGCACCTTTTTCGGATACATGTTAGGCATGCACTCAAATGAAAGGGCCATGAAACTAGACAATGATCAGATGTTCCAGTTATAGTACTTTGTACATGGTGGAAATGACATCTCTTAGAAAGAAAAATGACACGCCTTTTAAGATAGTATCAAATCTAGACCGTTTAACTAAAATAGATAGTGTAGAATGTTGCAACGTTATTTCTACAAGTAAGGTTGCAACCTTAGATAAATCACACCTTCTTAGAATGTTTTTCTGTAGAAATTTGTTTGCATAGTAAGGCTTTTTTTTTCAGTTAAGAAATTTTAGACAGCATTGCATGTTGCAATATCTGCCATTAATTACATAGCTGGTATTTCCAGTTATGTAATTGTTGAATGTTTACTTATGTGATTGACACGACCAACCCAAGGTCAATTAGTCATTTCCATTAGTCAATTTCTTGAGAAAATCATGCTAATTGGGCATAGACATGCTTGCTGATGTTTTGGTTGACTCTTATGGGCGTGCTGTGCTTTCTGAACACTTGAAGTTTGATAGCTTGAGCTATTTAATATTTACCATTTTTGGGATAAGAGTATGTTAATGAATAATTTGGGCATATTGGTTGTGAGCATGCTTACTAATTTTTTTTCTTTATGAGTGATTACAAATATGTTGACATCAAAGGATTGGATGATGCCTACTACTATATGCCAAAGATGTCAGTGAAGACATGCAAGAAAAACACTTCACACTTTAGTACGAGGTCTATTTATTCTGGGATTCCACATAGATTTGAACCTGGGTTAAATGTTTGTTTGATCGAGGCTGCACTGGTATTTTAAAAGTATAATTAGTCTTGGTTTTACAATTGAACTTCATAGATCAACTTTGAGTTCTGTTGGCATGAGTTCCTTTTCAATGCTCTTGCTACGAGGGAAATATTCTTTATCTATCTATATGTATATATATTTCTTTTTCTCTCAGATTTTTCTCTATTTTTGCTCATATAATTATGTCATATTTGGAGTGGCCTCTAATATCTCTTTCTTACTACAATCTTGTAGGACATGTTCCCTCATTGCAAGAAGGGAATTCAAAGGAAACTTTATTTGATCCCCCTTGGTCAAAAGGGAGGCCTGTTGTCTTAGGTACAAATTTTACCACCACTTGTATGTAATTTCTGAATGTTCTCTACATTTTTGTTGTTTGATTGGAGGCTCCAATCTATTCTTTTGCAGGATCAAGATTTAGGGATGCATTTCAGGATCCAGCTTCATATTTAGCGATTCAGCCTCTATTTGAGGTAATCTAAATACTCTTGTTCCGTTCTCATCTAGGTCCACCTTACCAAAAAGCAGTTGCAGTTTCTCCGTTTTTTTGAAGAATATAACTAAATTATCAGTTTAAAACCATTATGCATCATCTAAAAAATTTCATTACTTATATTACAGAAAGAGAGATACCTTGTGACATACAATCCTTCAAAAGGTAATGTGTATGCATTGCTCAAGGACCAAGCAAATTCAGATGACATACTGAAAGCTGCTTTCCATGTGAGTTTTCTTTTGTGTATTATTATGCATAGGAAGCTTTTAGTAAAAGGTATTCTCTTCAGGATGCTAAACTCCTGGGTGCTACAGGCTCATGTGCTTTTGCATCTAATCCACTCGTCAAGCAAGAATGGATCTTGGAAAAAGAATGATGATTCCATACGAACAAACGTAGATGGTCCCTTGGTGACCAATTCCCCTCTTTCAACCTTGGATTTCGAGGCTCACATTGCAGAGACTTGCAGAATAGTTTCGACTTCCTATGGACTCTTCAAGAGGAAAGCGGCAGAGCAGGTTAGTGGTTGTTCAACTAAGAGGGAAGGAGCGTGGTCGTTTTGTATACTCTCTCTTTTTGGGTACTTCAGTGGTAGGATTCGAGCTTGGGACATAGTGTTGCAGTCATCTACAATCTACACCTCAGATGATAATGCCCAAGTCTAAGTCCAAAAAAAAGAAAAAAGTAAAAAAAGAAACGAGTATTTATTTATTAAGTGCCTTTTTCTCTTTATTTTGTTTTGATGGGATGCTTGGGTATTCACAATTTTGTTTCTCTTTTTCACATATTGCCTCTAGTAATTGTGTCATCAACAGGGATGGAAGATGTCGGAATCACTCCTAAATCCTGGTCGAGCTCGTTTAACTTAATCCTAAATTAAAGATGAAGTGTAAGAGCTCAGAGATGGAGTTTTTGGTGATGGAGTTTCCATAATGCTTGGATGCTGCCCATTATTCGGCATGAAACATTATAGAGCAGCTAATTGAATGCAGTGGAACTGTCCCTTGATGCTGGAACCAGATGCATGAAGGGCATCTCAACTGCCTATTATTTCCTACTCATCAAAGTGATGGGGTTTTAATTCATCTGTAAATCTGTATAGTGCATTCTTTTACTTTTCAAGTTAAGTAGAATGTTGGTCGCACATTGAGTGAGAAATGAGTTGTTTTGCCCGCCGATGTAATTTGTAATCTGAATGTGCTGTGGTCATAGGATTGTGTATGTAGTTGATTTTGACAGTCTGCTTTATGGACTATCCAATTTTGAAATTTTGGAGTAATAGGTGGAATATATAGTTGTAATGCTTGTTATTCATCTCCAAATTACTCATTTATTGTATTATGCATTCAGTTTCTTTGAGATCATGGACTGCCATGTGGAACTTTGGAACTGGAAAGTTAGTATGTTGCAGGGTCTTGCAGTAGAAAAAGCAAATGATATCCCTGTTGGAGTTGCATTGACCAGATGATGCGTGTGAGATACATCTCTGTCATTGTCATTGCCATTGCTATTTGTTGCTATTGAGGTTAGGTTGGTTTTGTCCCCTTGTTCAATCTTGTGATAGAAACAATATTTCATAAGAACGTCAACAGCTGTAAAGTAGGTAGGCATACATCTGGTACGTATTTAAAATGATACCCTTTAAAGTGGTTGAATCTACTGTTGAATTGGTTGTTCATGTCCGGAATTGATGATTTAAGAGGTAAAATTGAAAGTTCTACAATGAATATGTTTCTTTTTTTGATAATTCTAAAATGGTATTCCCTCAAAAAGAGATAATTCTCAAATGGTTTTATTCTCACACACTTTACACTACAAGGTCTACCATTTGTATACAGGAAATCTTTGCGACCGTGGGATTGGGAGTTTATGCTAGTGTAGGAGCTTCCATCTTTCTTAGGCATTTTTGTACTCTTTTAGTCATATAAACTTTATTCCCCGTTCATATTAGATTGAAGATGATCTCTTGGTAAATTAGTTCTGATGCATATTAAATGTGAATTGGAGTGTACTTCTTTCTCCTCAAACAAACGTCTTAGGGTCACTATCACTAGTAATTCCATGACCTCCTTGTTTTACCTTTGCCTTAAAGCTTTCTTAGCCTTCTCCTTGTCAGCCATGGATACTTATCTGTGTGCTTTACCTAGAGATGCTGTATTTAATCAAGAGTTTTATCTTGCATGCGATTAAATATCTACAGCTTGCATACTGCTATAAACCTGGCTTATATGTCTAGCCAATATTGGCCGTTTGTTTATGAAAACTTCACATTTTGATCAAGAAAATTGGTGTTGAGTTGTCTGAGGTGCTGACCACTTGCGAATTTGAGCCCCATATGATTGAGTCTCTTCTTCCTGGAATCTAATTTAGTAAGGATCAGTGTTTAGAAAAATCAGAGACTAGGATCAGGACCCTCCTGTGTTGGCAAGTCCAGAGGCAAAGCCATGGATTCGCCCCCATTCTCCCCCTAACCCTGGGTTTTTTGTTCAAAGATCACCGATCCAACTCTGAGTAGCCTGAGTCAGACCTGGTGACTCTGGTTGGGAACCTGGATAGTCCCAGCCCCAGCCCATATTTTTAAACCCTGAATAGGATTAAAGCCCTTAGCCCTGTTTATGTCATTCTTATTGTGTATATATCCGCATTCATATTTGTTCTTTGAGCACAGTGGGATGTACAATTTCGTCAAAGAAATCATCATTACTTGTCAGAAAGCGGTGGTGTAAGATAATAAAGAGAGAAAATGATAATACATGCGCTTTGATGATTACTGGTTGCATGATAAAGCATAACATTTCTAGGTTCTGCTATGTATTGTTTGGACTTGTTTCATTAGCATTGAGGATGCGATTTGGTTTAGGTCTTGATCTATTGGGTTGTCTGTTGAAACCCTGTTTTCCTTAGGATGACCTATTCACTTTAGTCCAGTGGCACAAGGGAGAATACCCTGCCACTTGGAGGGTTACTCTCACGTTTGCAGAAGTTTGTTACTAAAACACGTACTTGGGCTCGGATTTGCTAGGGTCCCTAGCTTGAGTCTACTGGTGCACCTTGGTTGAGTCTCAACAAGATGCCGCCAAGTCTCTGCCAAAATAACACAGTGGGTTTGGGACCATGTAAACCTTCTTGAGGTGTTTGAACCAGAACCAGGACCTTGTCTGGTCCGAACCACTTGGGTGCGTGTGAGCCCTAGTCCTCGAGTTTCTAATCACTGATATTATTTATTTACTTCGCGAGGTTAGCACAATGGCTGATATTAGCTAAATCAGGCCTAACTAGTGATTGGAGGAGACTATGGTACTCTTTTGACAGTGTTGTATTGGAGTCTTTTTTTATTTGATAATTTTCAATAGAAGTTCGCCTTATGAAATGTCTCTTCTTCATTGACAGCATGCATATGGATCCTGGGTTTGCTTTTGATTAGAGAACCCACATTTTGGTGAAGAGAAATATTACTCGGAAATGCTGTGAGTATATCAATAAGGAAAAAGCTTATATAAGGTTGCAACCTTAAAATGTAGAATTATAGATGCATTTCAAATCTATCGGAAAAAGTTGTTTTAATGTTGGAAAACCCTCTAATTGATTATCGCGACATCGAGATGTATGAATATGAAAACAAAGAAAATTTGAGTCTCAGAAATAGTGCATCTTGCAACACATTATATAGACCGTCTATTTTCAAGATTTTCATATGTTTATAAATCTACTTGATTTTAACCTTTTTTGAAGTTTTAAATTTTATAAGTAGATATAAAATATATTTTCAAATAATCCTTATAAGTTTTTACACCAAAATTACTTGATATGATAAAATTTGGGGGTGCTCTTTAATTGTATTGTTTAATTGTATTGTTTAAGGTTGCAACCTTATAGAAACCACACCCATACATACAGGATTAAGATAAAATTTTATTTTTATTTTAAATTTTTAAAATTGCTAGTCTAAATTGAAGGATATAAAAGGTAAATCTATTCTTGGACTTTTGTCCTTGTAACTAGGTTAAGATTTACTCAAAATTGTCTCCAATCACTTAATTTTCTATCCTCCATTGAAGTCATGAAATATTTACATATTACTTTCTTTTCATACTTAAATTAATAAATTTATTACTTGAAAAATAAATTGTATTAGTTAAAACTTTCAATTTGCAAACAATAATAGATTATTGTGGCTGTGCATTGCACAAATTTCAGTATTTCACTTAGGAGGGGCACACCCATGCTTCTCTGTGCTATATAGCTTTATTGATAATCCAATGTTCCCTGATTTTCATACCAAGATAGGAGGTGCATTGTATATGGGCTATGGTCTATGGTACTCCATGAGGACATCCACCTTCCATTCCAGATGCACCATATTAGTGACTTATATTAATAATTAGTGACAAAAGTTACAAAGAAGAATAAACCTAAGGCAATTATTGGAAGTTTTCTGAAAATTTCTTTAGATAGAATAATAAAATACGGATTATTTTTCTTAAAAAAATTGAGGTTTCATTGAAGTTATTTTGAAATCACGCCTTTTAAAACATTATTTAGATCATAGTATGCGTGTTCAAAATCTAAAATTATGGCTTTAAGTTAGCATATCCTATATAGGTTTGTATTGGAAAAATTGACAAAAGATTTTCATATAATAAGGGATTGTATACTATAAAACCATTTATTTATTTACAAGGAAGTCACAATGACTTTTAACCATTGGATGTGAAATCCAATAAATGAAAATTTCACAGCATTGGAGAATTTTTGTTTTCGATTTTGTGCCCAAACAAGATCACATCTTCAACCAACCAATTTCAAATCTAAGAGTCGATGATGACTGTGAATTCCTTGTATCCAAAGTAAATAATCTAGTTACTTTCTTAACTACAAGAAACCATAATTTAAAATGGAACTGCTTATTTGGTAGTTGTTCTCGGAGCCGAAATAGAATTATAGAATTTCTATGTGCGAAACAGGGTATATTTCCATATGTCATTTTAGGCGAGAGATTTGATAGCTTGGCCATTTGGAATTTGCATGGTCTGTTATGGAGATGGTTTGCGCATGGAGGAATTGTGAAACTCTTAATTTCACACAATATTTTTCAGTTTTTTTGGGAAACAATTTTGCCCCCAAATGGCTTGATTTGGAGGGGTTTCAGATTTTCAATCCTCTTTTGCTAGGGTCAATCCCCTTTTGCAAGGCAGATCAGATGAATTCTTTAACTATGAATGCTTCCCTCTCTCTCTCTCTCTCTCTCTCTCTCAATTCTTTGTACCACTAAAAGCTCTTCTCTCTGAATTATTATTTAATTACTATGAAAGCAATTATCTCTCTCTCTCCCTGAATTCTTTAACCATGTAAGCTACTCTCTCTCTCTTTCTTTAGCCATGAAAGCTACTCTCTCTCTCATTTCTTTTGCCAGGTATGCTTCTCTCTCTCTCTCTCTTATACACACAACATACTTGCCATAGTAATACGTTTGCAAATCATGTGATACTAAATTGTCCTTTATTATACTTAGCTTCCTTTATTATGCCTTGCATGCTTTATTATAACTAATTGTGAGAACTGAGAGGTTCCTTTTGTTAGCTGGCTTTTAGATTTTAGTAGCTGTGCTACACACTATTAAAATAAAATAATAGGAAGTTAATTATGGTTGCTATAAACAAATCCTTGTTATGGAAACATCAATTAGTGCTCTATGCTTACCTATATGTTCTTTTTGTTCACTTTCTTTTCATTTTGATTATGGGAAATATTTTTTTCTTTTTTCACTTATATAATTATGTGACAAGAGACTGTTTATTTTGATTGGATAGCTGAGAGTGAGTCATAAACAATATAATAAGGTAGTAGTTGCTCTGTATATTATACCATAATTAATATGTGATATTGTTATAAGTTTACTACTGACTGTCCTATCAAGATTGGATCACTAAGTATCTATAGAAATAATAGTGTGTGGAGACACATGGGAAGCTCCCATTTTAGTTAGAATTAAAAAAAACTACATAAAACCATCATTTATTTTTAGTACAAGAAGGTCGCTATCACTCTTGCCCAGCATATTTAAATCTGGTAGTTGTAAATATGTCATTAACTAGACTCAATGTTCAAAACAAATTCTTATTGGTGACACACTCAAGGCCATCAAATTTGATGTTTAATGGCTAGGAGTAATTGTGAAACATTAAGTGATCTAAATATGAGATCATTATAAATTTTGAGCCACCTACCTCAATCTCTCTCACAACCATTGATCTTTTACCTCCGGTGCTCATTGTAGTAGATTAAGCAACCATCATTATTCGTCAACCTTAAAC